GCCTGTGTAATTGATGAATAAGAATCAAAGTAAGAAAGGCGATCTGTTGCTTTGAGAATTTATTAATGATTTATTCTCAATTATCTTTCTCCCACTACCTATACAGTATTATACAAAAAGGACTACAGTATTCTCAGTCACAATTGTACAGACATCACTATGAAAGAATACACTGTTAAAAAAATTTGAGAAACAAAAACAACACAAAAAAATTATATCTGGAAACATAAAGTTTCTATTATTCTCATATAAGTACACTGCTCCAATCCCTAAAGTAAGTCTTACTGTCAGTAAAGTATTGAATAATTCAAATAGCCATGAATTTTATATACATAATATTCACTTACATGGCTTAAATTTTGGATTAAAAGGTTTGTGAACACAGATGAAGGGTAACTTCTTCTCACAAACACTAGATGTTATCTTTAGATCAATATTTGTATTGAAACATACTTTATCAATGGAAGATGTGTCTGATTCCCATCTTCCTGTGAATTTTTCTTTTGTTCTGAAAACAAAAAAAAAATTAGCCTGAGTTCTATATGTATAAATACACAAACATACATATTCATAAATACATACATATATATATATATATACTTCAATATAGTTACCTTACAAAATATGTTTAATTTCATTACTTTTTCACGTAACAAACTGTGGTCACATCTGAAAAAACAGCTTAGCATTTTATTAGTTATTTGACTTACTGCCAACTACAAAACTTATGTTTGTCTTGCCTATTGATAAATTGGATTTTTGACATGTCAAAAGCCTAGAGGGAAAATGAAATTCTTGCTTTACAAACACTTTGGTTAAGTTTTGTGGTAAGGTGTCAGAGAAACCTCTACAAAACTGATATGTTAGTCTTGAATGTTGATGAGTGGGAACTCTGACGTGCAAAAAGCCTAAAAAGACTTTGGAATTCTTTCTTTCTAAATACTTGGGTTAAGTTTTGTGGTAAATCTTGGCAGACGTTTATGGGTATAAACGTCCTGAATGAGCTTGTAATCTTGTATCTGTTGGTTTGGTAGGTCTATATCAGTTTTCCTGAAATGCAGTAAGAGAGTTGTGCTCTATACACAGCATGATCAATTGACTTGGACTGTATAAATCAGGGAGATATGCTTATTATTTTGTTAATTCTTGTGTTTACTAGCTGTATGGGTTTTTCATAACTCCTATATGGCAGCCTAGCAATGATTAATATGCAATGTTGAATTATACTTGTATAACTGCACATATTTTACATTACACATGGACCAGTTTGTTTCTGCTGGAGTAATGTACATCAAATCAAGTGAGAAATATAGCAAAACTCTTGGTAAAAGAGGGACAAGATGCGTAAACTTCAAACTCCTTGCAGGTGATAGCTGAAAATTTCCCAGCCAAGACCTCCATACCTGAAGCTTGTGTTACGACAAAGTAGTGCTAACTGGAGCTAGTTGTGACAAGAAATTCCAAGTCCATAACAAAATGAAGGTAAGTTTTCTTGACTATAAACTACAGTAAAGAAATTGTAGAAAAAAAATTAGTAAAAACATAAAAGCTTTACTTCGAAAAGAGATAAAAAATTTGCTACAAATGAAATGTTTGCAGAAGACCACTGCCTGACATGAAGTGTTGGTTAGGAAGAATCGAATAGAGGGAGTTACATGCATCAGGAGAATGTATTGCACTTCTATTGGTAGAAGTTTGTTGCATGATAATTTACATGCAAAAATGCAATGCACCACACTGATTGTGGGGTAGGTTGGAGTTTCAAGGCTTGTGGCATGTGAAAAAGTTTGCATATAGAAGACAGGGCTGAATGAGACTAGCTATTATATGAGTGGAGGTAAAGGTACTGTATTGGAAGACATGGAGAGCCATGACCACAGCTGTGAGAGTGGTTAATTTTGTAGAAATAGAAAACCCCTATAACCACTATATCCATAGAAAAAGCCACAGCAAAAGTCTCTTCATATCAAGCCCTACAAATCCCTATATTTTATTCCAACTTTTCTGTATTTCCAGAGTTCATATAAACTCTGTTTTCAGCAATTCCACAAGTTGTCTGATTGACACAAATATTCATTGTTAACACTAAATATTATTTAAATACTTACAAGTTTAATGGCTTGGGATGGAAACCTATATAATGCAGAACGTTGTCAATGCTCTGTATTCCTATCCAATACTTGCCAAAATTACCTGAAAATTAAAAAATAAGACAATTGTAATTTCAATTTATTTAAAAATTACTTCATTCTTTATTGCAGGTTTTATTTTTAATGAGCCAAGTTTGATTAAGTAATATAGGTTTTTAATGTAACTATCAAGAGGAAAAAAGAAATGTGTCCAAAAATGTTTATTAATTAGTTCTTGGTGATGCAATCCCATAAAAGTGGAGAACAAACTAAATTTCAATGCATATGTAGCAGGATATTTTACAGAGTAAGTCAGGTCATTAAGTATAATACCCAAACAAGCAAAAAAGTATAGTTTCATAAAAGAAGGAAATAGAGAAGTATAAAAATAATAGCCCAAACTTGAGAAAGAACAAGCTAATATATTAAATCATAAATGTAAAAAAAGCTGAAAAAGTTTTTGATGAATAATGTAACATAAAAACTGCATAAAGCCCATTATCCAAATCAAAAAGATCCACTGAAAATCTTAACATGAACAAAATATTGTTCAAAAATCATTGGAAAATAAAGCAAAAATTAGATTTCAACAAATACCACTCGAAGTTTAGAATAATCAAATATAAATAAATTTCAGCCAATACATAAACAGCTTTGAGTGTATCAACAGCTGTTATAGGTATTATATGCACCAACAAACAGACAGCATTGTATAATAGGTCCAGAGGACAGCTTTGACACAGCCAGAAAGTAGAATAAAACCCATCTACAAACAGGAAGAAATATCATAAAATTCTAAAACCTAAGAAACTGTAATTCACAAATATCTTTTCATAGCTTTGATTTTATTCATTTCATTCTTGAAAGCATAACTTGCAGTAATTCAGTAAATCAACCCTATGTGCACATGTCATGGCCTTTTACAGAGTGCCATTCAACATTGTATTATGTATTTGATATCACTGTTATTAATCATTCATTTTACCCAAAACTGCTGAATTATTGGCAGTTCATGGTAGAGGAGAGTAAACACCAGAAACAATACTTTAAAGAGTGTTGTTCCATAAGACACAAGAAGAAAAACTTGGATAAATGATAGTAAAGAATAAATTGACATGTCTAATCAAAAACTTTAATAGTTTATTTTGTGCACAAAATAACCTAGAAAGTTTTTGTTTAGACATGTCAATTTATTCTTTATTATCACATAACCAGAAACAATATACAGAGATACTAAAAAACTGTAGATATGCATTTTGTAGGTTCTAGAAGTTACACAAATGCAAACTATATGATGGACAAAAGTATTTATATTCTTCACATAAACATCACCTTGCACTCTTGACTTGTCAGAGTCCGAGTCAGACTGACAGTGTCAAATTGGAGATATATCTTTGGTACAACTACTTTTGTAACACATCTGACCATCTGTGTACAACAGACTTGCACATTTTACTAACAATTTGCCACATTTCATGTAGTTACATGTAGTAAATTCAAAATTAGGGTCAACATTCCTTCTCCAATACTAGGTCAGCCCACATGACCAACCCATGTACATTCAGTTAATAAACATCTGTAAAACTCCTAAGAGTCTTTTTAATAACACAAATATTTAGACAAAATATTAAAAAGCAGTTACATTTAAAGAAGCCTTGGTTTTGAACTTCCTTGGGAATGTAACAGTTTTTAAACATAAGAGAAAGTCTAGAGTAATTCAGATATGAATGGGGAAAAAATCACCACTTACCAAACACTTTTTTTAATTCATCAATTTTTTGTTTCTTGTCTGACAACTGAAGTAAAGGATCTAACATATCTGGAGTCAGAAGATATGCAAAATCTTTTTGACATTCATTCTGGGCTTCACTCCAAGTAACTGGATCTTGAACTTCTCTCATACACAAAAGTGAACCAGAGACATTCTTGTACATGTATCCTAGTCTACATGATGGGCTATCACTTTCTAAATGAGTAAGATAAAAATTAGTAGGATAACTAATATATATAAGATGACCCTACTTCTACAAATCATGGTACTCATGAGGACCACGAAAATCAAGAAGTTTTATCAGAATCTGGCCAACATGATGAACCATATACTGGGAGAATTTAAGATTTACATGAAATATCAGGAAGAAATGTCTTCAAGACATCCTTTTACAAAGTGAATAGAATGTGAAGCGGTTTAATTAAAATAATTCATGAACTACATACTGTCTTTCACAAAAGGCTTTTTCTACAAAATTACCAGCTTCATTGATGTTACTGTTGCAATCTTCATTAATGTATGGTAAGATGAAGTTTGCACTTCCTTATATTCAGATTTTTAAACAAGTATAATTTTTCTGATTAAGATATGATTCGTTAAATATAAAATGCATCAAAAAGGAACAGTCATGTTAAAGCTTTAATGTACAACAATATTGTTTTAACTAAAGAAGTATAATCCTAGAGATATACTGAAGATATTGTATTTACCTTGTATCTTGCTATCGTTTATTATAGTAACGCTTAGTCATACAAAACTTTTGTGCAAGTTAAAAGTTTTACAAATAGATAATGAGTTCAAAGAATAAAAGATGTTTCATTCACAAGTTCAATTGTAACTTTTACAACTTTCAATCACATTATTGGATTGAGAGAAAAAAAAATAAAGTAAAGAACTGACAGTTGTCTTGAACTAACACACTGAAATATTCTTCATACTTACGATCTGTAGTATCAATATTTGTAACATATTTTTATTATATAGAATAAAGTTAATTTATACTTATAATGCACAAGATTTAGGTGGTACTGTCCTTCAGATTTCCCAATACACTATACCACAGCTTTATTTTTCATGCATATTATGTAATATGAGTGAAGGGCATTTCAAACACTCAAAAATGTTTTTGAAGTACGAGTACAGAAACCTTAAAAATAATCTTAATGTGAAAAGTGGTGCAAACACTATGAGATAAACACATATACTAAATAAGTTAGTGTCTAATTTATGGCACATAACTTTGAGCAGATACTTTAAATTTTGAAATTAAATCAATATGCATAACATAATTTGAGTCGGCCGAGCATGACCAGGTGGTTAGGGTGCTTGACTCGCAATCTGAGGGTTGTGGGTTCAAATCCCTATCCCACCAAACATGCTCGCCCTTACAATGCTAGAAACTGGGTTTCGATACCCATGGTGGGCAGAGCACAGATAGCCCATTGTGTAGCTTTGTGCTTAACTTCAAACAAACAAACATTTCTTATATCAATTATAAAATTCTGCCTTTTTACTTTAGAGCACAGAAGTATGAGTACTTTTCATAAAAAATAAAATTATTAATATTAATACTGTAATGAGTTACAGAATGACATTGATTTTCACAAAAGTGCATTTATTGAGTATAGGAAAAAAAACTTCAAATATGTATTATCAAGAAATAGAAGCATTCAACAAAACCTTAGTGATTCTACTGAATGAAAAAAACTCTGAAACTTTCATGGCTATATTTCAGTTTTCACACACATTAAATTAATTTTATTACCTAGAACTACGTCTGATATTATTCTTTCAATTAAAAAAATTACAAACTTTTCATGGCTGCAAGTTTACACTAATTGTATTTATATAATTATAAGTAACTCTGAATTAAACAAATAAGGGTAAAAGCATGTGTTGCTTTACATTGACAATTCATAAAAATAGCTTAGAACATACTTTTTCATCTGAATATTACTGCGATATATACATTTTCAAATACAAAGTTTCTATTGATGAATCCCTGGTGATACTGACCAGACGTGGAGTGAACTAAAAGCAATGCGCATTACTTGCTCCATACATCAAATCTGGATGTATTATGATAAAATGGTTTGACACATATAAAAACACAAAATTTACAGATTTTAATGGTCAATAAAGCACATGCTTATTGTGTATAAAATTAGTGGTATGGGTTAACATTAGATATGTTGGAGTAATAATTTCATCCAATATTGTTGACACTTAACTTCAAAATGATATAAAACCACTCACCCACATACAAATTGGCCACCTAAAGTTACTAATTAACTTTGCTGTTCATTCATTGTTTATAAACTCACACATGCTCATCTGAGCAAATCAGTTGCACTCAACTAATCAGTAGTTTGATCTGGACACTTTGTTAAAATTTTGCATTTCATTCTCTAATTGTTTTGTTTGTTTTCAATTATGCACAAAGCTACACAAGGGCTATCTGTGCTCTGCCCGCCACGGGTATCGAAACCCGGTTTCTAGCATTGTAAGTCTACAGACATACCACTGTGCCACTGTGGGGCTCATTCTTTAATAGAAAATATGAATAATAACTATCAAAACATACCCTCAGTAATGTGGTCTTGAAGTCTCGCACACTGAGAAGAATCAAAGTCAGACCATCTGGAACCACGAACAAAGCTAGATTCACAAGCACGGAGGACAAGCTGCCATGACTCTGTAACAAAAAGATTATGAAAAAGTACAGAATTTATGATTACAGTAACTTCTTACTGACATTTTAAGCTATATAACTTTGATGTATGACAGACTTAGATTCTGCTTACTCAAAAATACCATAAAGATTCATTCAAAAACACTAATGTCAGTGATTGTTACAGCAACAAAATAAAATCTCAAACTTCTAATTGACTACTTTGTTTTAACATTCACAGTGTTTAACTGCGATTCCTTAATAATGACATGCGACTTATTACTAAGTCTTACATAGTAAGTAATGTGCATAATGTTTATGTTCAATGTATATTTAATCAAAAAATTAAGGCAAATTTAAAGATAAATAGACTTAAATATGATAAATGGTTCATATGTTACTCAACTACTAAATATACAGACTCTATGAAGAAAAGTGTTTTAACAAAACCACATCATATTCTATCTAGAGAACACACACAGTCCTCACTTTCTATGTTAAGAGTGAGAATATTTGAAATCTAAATAGTAAGGTGTTTTAAATAAGGTTCTTTCCTTATACACATACAATAATATATCCACTTTTTTCCCCATAAAATTCTAAAGGCACAAAAAGGAGCTTATTAGCCCATCAATGATGTCCCTTCCAACTCCCAACTATAACCACCCTTACTACTCATGTATTCATCCAATCTTTTCTTAAACTCTGTTAAATTTTCTGCCTCCACCACCCTTGAAAGCAGCTTATTCCAAAAGCCAACCACACTGTTTGAAAAGTAATACAGTCTGAACTGCAGGCAAATCTTACACTGCCAAAATTTGAATTTATGACCCCTTGTACTATTGTTTTCACTGCTAAACACAAAAAAGTTTGATGGATCTATATTATAAATCAAATCCCCTCTGACCCTTCTCTTCAGAGAAAACAAGTCTAGAGAGTTTAATCTCTCCTCATAGGACAATCCCACCATCCCAGGTATCATCCTAGTGGCTCTTCTCTGAACCCTCTCCAACAATTTAATGTCCTTCACGAAAAAGGGAGCCCAAAACTGTACACAGTACTCTAAATGAGGCCTTACAAGTGATTTATACAGTGAAACAATAATATCCCTTATCTTGTATTCAATATTTCTATGGATGCTACCTAAAATCCTATTAGCCTTATTGCTAGCTATAACACACTATCTAGATAACTTAAGTGATTTTTTTATTATAACATCAAGATCTTTTTCTTCAACCACAGTATTTAGTGTATTCCAATTGAAATTGTAACAATAATTTGAATTGTGAAAACCTACATGCATCACCTTACATTTTGGACAGTTAAACATCATCTGCCATGTATTGGCCCAATGCATCCAATGATCTAAATCTCCCTGTAAGTCTGCAGCATCTTTGATACAATTAGCCCCAAAAATCTTAATATCATCTGCAAACTTCAATATTTTGTTAGTCATTTCAGAGTCAATATCATTAATATAAATCACAAACAGCAGAGGACCCAGCAGAGAGTCCTGAGGCTCACTGCTTGTAACTGTGATCCAGTCAGATCTAACTCCATTTATTACCACTTTCTAGCCAATTTTCTATCCAATTGAATAACATTTCCCCCACACCCACATATTTCATTTTTCTAACAAGTCTTTTGTGAGGCACCTTATCAAATACTTTCTAAAAATCAAGATAAACCAAATCCACAGTATTTCCTTCATCAACTCTTGCAGTAACATCCTCAAAGAATGTCAGAAGATTTGTTAAAGAAGATTTTCCCTTAATGAAACCATGTTGGCTCTTTGATACTATATCAAACTGCTGTAAGTGACTCTGCAATGCATCTTCAATCACATTCTCCAAAACCTTTACCACTACTGATGTAAGACTAACTGGCCTATAATTGCCTGGACAATGTTTATCATCTCCTTTGAAGGTGGAGGGGGCCAGTGAGGGCATTATCCAGATTATCCATACAGAAAGCATCTCTATAAATCATGGGTGTGTTAATAGTAGATTGGCACCCTAGTGGAAGAACCACATTACATCCAGAACAGGAAAGCTCTTCACCTGGAACTTAATTCGTGTACTGTGGGTGGAATTTTACACAATTTGTCATCACTAGTGGCCAGGCCACAACCAGATAGCCAAGATTCCACTAATCGGGGTTGGAATTATAGGGCCATGGTTCCTATATCCCACATTGGTAGCTAGGGAAATTGGACTGCATACTATATATTTATATATATTTATGAGTATATTCTAACCTGGAGTCATAGAGTGATGCATTCCAAGCCATCAGTATCACGATAAGAAGGTAAGCAACAATGAAGTGGACAAACCTTCTTCTCAACTTGAAGAAGTCCAAAAGGCAACACTCCAGGCTCTGGAATTATAAACACTCATCCTCATTCCACAATCGTGTGGGCAAGGTAAATTCCACTTGTCCCCAGAATTATGAGGAGGATGTGAAACAAACTGTGCTCAACCAAGGACCCAGAATGGGACCACTCTGCATTCGGAATTACAAGGAGAGAGTGGACCTCCTTCCATGAACAATATACTGAACCAATATTGATCAAAAAGAAGAGCCACGCTCAATCCAGCTGGATAGCTGAGCATCAAATCTGAACAGGTATTACGAGGAGGCTCTTGTATAGGCTGGTGCCTCTCCTACCAACATCTGGGAAAAAAATGTCCTAGGACCAAACTTCATCCTCTTCTCCAAGAATGGAAGAATTCACTCTAACACTCTGGAGAAAAAGCCTCGGTCCCCACCCCAGTGACTGGAAACCGGGTGTGGTAAGAACTCCCTAGCTCCACTAGTAGAATCTGGGGAATAATGCTCATTGGGTAACCCTGGAGAACAGTGCTCTGGAAACAGTGAAATAGGTAAACCAAGTTCCCTAAATTTTTAAAAACAAACCGACCCCAGTTTATTCAATCCAATGATCAGCAGGGATGGGCAGGATCCCCTTATGCTTTACTCATGTTGGTCAGTGGTAGCAGTCCAGCATAGTGTAGTAATACCACCAGATCAATCTCTAGATGGTCTTATGGAACACCACACTTCTACAGAACCTGTTACAACCTGTATAAAGTATATCAAAGTTGTAGTTGCTTGTGTGGAATTGGTTCGATAAAAGCACACTTGCCTGGGCAACACTCACCACAGAGTGGGATCCTCTGAAAATGAGGTAAGAGACCCTTGAAAGGTAGCAAAGAAAATACTCTCCCCTCTGCATAACATAGCAGAAGAGGTTAAAATAGCTATGAGGAATAGGCAAAAACTCTCAGATGAAGATACTACCAAATCGTGTAAATAATGTATTGGGAGAGGTCCAAGTACTAGTTTGCACAATGTCCTTCAACGGGCAATTGAACCGGGCCAATAATGGCAGAGAAATGTGACAAATTTGATTATACATGACTCACATAAGATTCTTTGTCTTCAAAGAAAGCCCAGAATAAAAAGTCATTGTATAGAATCTCTAAATGCATTAGTGCAGGCAACAACACTTTCAAGACCCACACTGAACATGACAATGATCAAAATCTAATCAGACATAAAAGTGAGAAATAGTGATCAGATGAATCGATGAAAAGGATTTATCCCGTTTCCTGTTTGATGTGTCTTGGGTAAGAATAACTGGCTGGAAGACATAGATAGAATGAGAAAGCAGTCTGTGGACAAACAGTGCAAATCACTCCAACTGGCCATGTCTGTAGGTCAGCAGCAATGAAAAATAAATTATTAGCTAAGATTTTATGGTATTCTAATTGGTATAACATAAACAAAAAGTAGTATAATAAAATTTTGAATGTAGGACACTAAAACCTTGTGTCATGCGCAGTAAAGGATACCTGGGGTTAATAAGCCCAGACCATGAAACATTGCCCTTTGAAGAGCAAGAATGACTAAAACATTGTGTAGAGAAGCCTTGTTGTCCATGCATACACCCTGAAATTCCTGACTGTTGCTATATGCACCCTATTTCTGAAGCAAATCATTCGTAAAGAGATGGTGGCCCGGCATGGCCAGGTGGATAGGGAGCTTGACTTGCAATCAGAGGGCCGCGGGTTTGAATCTCAGTCCCACCAAACATGCTCGCCCTTTCAGTCGTGAGGGCATTATAATGTGACGGTCAATCCCACTATTCGTTGATAAAAGAGTAGCCCAAGAGTTGATGGTGGGTTGTG